TGACTCTGGTGAAACCTGTGAATTCTTGTGAAGCTGGAGCGCTCGTCAAGCCATCATGGTAAAACCTGTCAACTCAAGAAGAGGCTGTTAGATGGGTCGACACATCGATGGGAAGTAGCAAAAGTGCAAAATGCACCCCCCCACCCCCACCACGCCGTCGCCGAACTGCCGGCCCCCATGGATCTTTTGCCCTTTCCTTTACTTAAGCTGCATCGTTATAGCCCTTCTACATAACCTATAGTTCTACCGCTGCACTTTCAGTTGCTGACTGGATTTTATGCATCCTTCCTTTGCTCTATGTATTCTCTTCCTTATATTGAGAAGTTTCCCACCTCCCGTTCTGTTGAATTATTGAGCTTTGCTCCGAAAGTCCATTATTCAGTCCAAAAGTCCCACTTCAGATTTTACAATTTCACTGAACAGTTAATACGTTCAATATCGAAGGATTTTTGAGTTTTATAATTGAACAGATGAAACTCCTTCTAGTCCTGTTTCTGGCTGATGATGTTTTTGACCGTGAACTCTTATTCAGGTCTCAGGTCTAATAATGCACGCGTCTTCTTCACCGCCATAGTTTGGTACTCGGTCTAAAATGGTAACAGGGGTGCTATTGGCTCAAAAGCGAAGTGAAACCGTAGAAAACCTGCAGAAAACCCTTTGTTCTACACGACTCAGAAAGCGATTTCGGACGAGTTTCCCGTTGGCATCGTGCCAATAACCGCTACGGTAGATACGGCTGCATGTATGTACTCATATATCCATGCAGCACCGCAGCCGCTTCATATCAATCCCTTCGCTTCATGTTACACTTCGCGAAATGAACCAATACGACCATCAGCATCACGGACATTGTAAGCGGGGTGCGCAGTGGGCGTCCGGGACGTATGGTGCAGCTCAACAGGGCGCTATAAGGATACCTTTCTTGGAAAAGGCGCCACAGCCTCGCCAGCGCCTGCTCAGGAGCGCCGAATCCTGTCCTGCTAGGCACTTTAATCCTACACGTCTTGGGGATTTACCGTGCCTTGCCTTCAACAAGTTTCCGCCTCCTCAAAAGAAGGAGGCTGCGGAGTTGGTGTAGGCCTGGGAACCTTCTGAAATAAAAGGAAAATGGATACTGAAAGTTGTTTCCGTCCATTACCGGACAATTTGAGTACAATTCTGCCAACGGCTCTCAAATCACCTAACCACCAACCTTCTTTCCCTTACGAGGTCGGTCATTAGTGAATTAATCGTTTGCTCTTTGAATTTCTTGTTATTTATGCACACATGAATCGAAAATTGCTCGGCTTCATTTTATTGCTGACTACAAGAGGAAAAGCTTGCTTTCGTGAGAAACGGTGGACATTGTTATCAAGAAGGTAGCCTTGAAAAAGTAGATTTTGTGTTTCTTTGATTGGCAGCCGCAGAGTTCTGAACTTGTGGAGACCTGACATTATAGTTATAGTCGCTGTGGGCATACTATCATGCTGGTCATGCATTTTCATTTCAAGAATTGCCCAGAGGTTATGAATTCTAGTTCTTGGCTTTGCCTGCTTCCAATTCGTTTACTAGATGCCTTCATCAGCTTCCTTTCGATGTGGAGCAAACACCGTCTACAGGGTTATGCTTTTTGGATAGCTTACATAGAGGGGCCCTTCATTTTTTTATTTTCTAAATCTACGGCCCGCCGCATTCCGCATTTGATGTTTTTTCTTTCTTTCCCCGGCACTACAGTTAGTGACGAGGATGTGGGATGCCATCATCAGCCGAAAAGGCGCCATCCGTAGAAGTCTCCCTTCCCATGTGGGGACGAGACGTTTCAACAGCGACTGCCTGAGACACACCTCAAATCTCATTTCTTTAGTTCCCGGCTCGCGATCACAGTGGCCTTGCTCACTGAATCTCTTTGAGAGCAGAACGTTGGGATCCTTAAGTCAACAGCTTCTAACCGAGTTCAACACTCTCCTTAGGGCCCCTAGAGCCATGAGTTGTAGCCGCAAAATGTGCCTTCATGTCCCCATTGTTTCAGACTGGCGCTGCTTCGTTAGCTATTTTATATTATTTCAGAAAGAATTGGTTGCTTCTATTTCGGAAAGAAATTGATTGTTTGCGTCTCACTGATGTCAAAAATCAATGATAAATTGGGAAATCCCTCATGGAACATACAAATGGTCTCTTTCAGGGGAGAAAATTCACTCGTATCCCTAGGAACGAGTTCAATAATCGCGTCGAGAAGCGCAGGAATTTTCATCAATATAATGGGGCTGCGAACAGACATGAGGTACTTCATTACTTTTTTATTCCATTTCAGAAACCGAATTCCGAAGAAGTAGAACACTCTGCATGGACCAGTTATCTGAGTTATTCCGAAGGCACATTCCGCCATGATCATATGGGCGGAGTTACATTAACAAGTGCAACCCTTTCATTGAAGGCAAGTGGCACGATAAGTCCTTAAAAGACGTGTAGAATTGATTCGCCCAGCAAGGCGGGATTCGGCGTCACCAAGCGCTACGAAGTGCCTTCTCCAAGTAAGGTACCCTTATGGCGCCCTATCAAGCTGAACATACCGACCCGGACGCCTACCGCGCCCGCCCGCCCACAAATGTCCGACCGATCCTGATGCTCGTAACGATTCATTTGCGAAAAAGGGAGGGGATTGATATGAAGTGGGTGCAATGCTGCATGGATATATGGGTACATATATGCAGCCGTATCTACGTAGCGGTTATTGGCACGATGCCAACGGGAAACTCGTCCGAAATTGCTAGTCGTGTAGAACAAAGGTTTTTTGCAGGTTTTTGACCGTTCCACTTCACTTTTCGCCATTTCAGCACCACATGGTACATCTGCTACCCTTTTGGACCGAGTACCAATTTATCGTGCCTTATGCCTTCAATAATAATAATGACGCTCTTCGATTCATGAGGCCCAACACAGCACCTGCTCAGGGGCACAATACTCTGCGCTGTGCGGCTTTGGTGGGGCATTTTGCGCTTACGCTAGTTTCTCTGCTAGTTCCTGCTAAATTACATATCACACCATGATGGAACCCGTATACTCCCGTCAAGTGTTAACGAATCTCCTGTTAATGCCAGGTCTCCTCAGGAGGCTTCGGCAGCCACCGAGGACAAGCAAAATACCCCTCCCCCAGGCCGGAATGCGCACAATATTTTTCCTTGCTTACCGTATTTATCCTGCACGACCCTATACGATTTGCCGATTTATCGTGCGGTGAACGAGAGCAAGGAAAGCGCCATGGTCCAAGTTATCCCACCCATGTGATCATGAATTGTGAGTTTTCCGACTTCACCTTCAACTGGAAGCGATCACTGATCGCGACCTTATTAATACCTTAACTTAAACTTTCCTTTATGAACCTTCTTTTTTTCAGCTAATCAATTATGGAGACTTGGAATACGGAACAAAAATCTCCATCGGCACTCCACCGCAAGAATTCACGGTTGCACTGACACTGAGCAATCCTTACTTATATGTGCCACACCCGGACTGCAAAGTGTGAGTCACGGAGTAGATCAAAGTGCCGAAGCAAAAGGGGATAGATGTTCGTGGGAGGGTGAAATTAGGTTCTTACTTATGCAGTTCGTCTTTGGCGAACTTTGGTGTGCCAACGACAGATCACACGACGAGGTGGTCAGGCTGCGTTCATACTTTGCGGGAGTGTCCACCAGCGACCGTGAGCGTCTCTAGGGACTAGGAAAGTATGGATATCGATCTAGCGCCTTCCAGCGTCCACCAGCGACCGCCATCAACCAGGAGTAGAGAGTATGAGGAAGTAGGAGAGTAGCAGACTGCTAGTAGAGCATAATAGGGAAGTAGGAGGGAGGAGACAGCTGGATTAGGCGTCGTCAAATTGTGGCGTGGGCAACCGCACCGTACCACCACTTAACACCGTACTCCTGGTCGCTGTTGGACGCTGGCGGCCGCTAGTGGGCGCTGTTAGACGCTAGATCAATATCCACGCTATCCTAATCGCTGACGTTGACGGACGCTCGAAACGCCGATGATCGCTGGTGGACGCTGCCGTAAAGTATGAACGCAACCCAAAGCAACGCCTGTTGATGCTGACCAACGCAGTTGAAATAGCATTGAATACAGGTGCTCTTAAGAAATTATTGCGAGAAAAGAAGAAAATTCAAATACAAAGACTCCAGAACATTCGAGAGTGACTTCAACAGAACGGAAACTTACAGTTGTTCAGCTGGTACTGCTGACATTTTTCTCGGGAATGATACTGTAACCGTGAGTAAGAGGAACTTTCAATTCATTTTTTCTTTGTTTTTTCAAGTTGATAGGATGTATCAGGTGAGCTGGAGTTGGCGCGCAGCCAGCCTGTCCCCCATCGATTGTTGACAACAACTGGTGGAGAAAAACTGATGCGAACGATATGATATAGTCTTGTCGCTTGCTGAAAAAAAAACGGGTTGGCGCCTCGCCAACTTGCCCCTTTGGGAAATACGGTCCTCCACAATTTCGTCCTCTTCTGTGAACCCACTCCATTTTCACTGTCCGCTTTATCCCGTAATCCTTGCCGTCGAG